CCATAGTGTTTTATTGGTGATGTAGTTCATAATTGACATTTTATTTCCAATTAATTAATTATATTACTTCATTTTTGGTATAAAATAACAATTTATTAATTTACCAAGTATATCAATTAAAATGATGATAAAGTATTTTAACGTTACATATATATGTTAGTGACAAATGGATGAATTGAAGAACAAAGCTTAACTAAGATTATAGGCATTTACCCTAGAAGAAGTATCACCCTCTTGTATATATTTAATCTGTGTGACTTGCAAATTACAATGCCATACTGCCCACCATTATATAGTAGGAGATCGAAGATCTAAAAAAGGAAATATTCGATTGTTTATTTTTTTATATAGTTGTGGGACTCTTCTATAAATAATTCTTTTGCGATAAAATGGAGCCTATCATTATTCCACCCATAGTCCCACCAATCGTAGCTCTGACGAAGGAAAACCTAATTTGATTCAATTTTATGTATTTGTTAATTTAGATTTCATTTGTAGATGGCGGATGACTTTTTATTAATGAATTGATTTGTTTACAGATAGAAGTTTCATATTTAAGTTCTTAAGCACACTCACGCAGGGGCTTAAAGTACTTGAGCTATTAATAAAGGGGTTGACAACTAAATTCCAGAGCACATCATGCCCACCATGCACCTTGGTGCGTCAGAAGATGCGCTTGAGGCACCTGGTTTATTGGAAGACACTAAACATTTTGCACCCTTGTCTTTTGAATAAACTCCCTGTAAACATTTGAAATAGTCAAGTATTTATCTTTAATTTTTTGCACATCAGTTTTGCTAGTCATAGCAGTTTTAGAGTCAGAACATATGTTCACATCGTCCTTTTAATAATACTTAAACCAAGCAACGACATTACGACAATCAAAACAATCAAGAATTCAGCAAAGTTAGCATCCTCAACCTTGATTTTTTAAGGGAAACCCCTTTCTACTCCTTAAAATAAATGTATCATATGCCTCCAATACACACATCAAAGGTGTGTTGATAGAAGGAAGCATCTACTAGGATAAAGAACTAAGAGGTAATGCATGCGGGGGTGGATAAGTTTCACACAGGGGTCAGAACAAGCAAGACAAGGTTGAGTGTAGAAGTATATCACATAACTTCCTAAAAAAGAGGATATCATCTACAAATAGGAGGTAAGAGATAGGTTAGTTAATTTCTTGCATGTTAGAGAATTAAAGAAGGTTATCTTGTTAAAAGCCTATAAAAGTCAAGCTTGGTTAGAATTTGTGGTCTTGACTCTTGAGGCCTCCTTTTCCTACCCAGCAAAAGTTAAGAGGAATTAACGTAGGCTTATATCCCGCCTATAGTTGCTAGCTAGTTTTGTGTTATGCATATGCTATGTTAGATTGTGCTTGTTGTTGTAATTAGATTGTGCCTATTCGATTTGAACTGAGAAATTCATGACTCAAACCCCACCTGTAACCGACCTAGTTTAACCTGAGAAATTCATGATTCAAACCAGATCTATAACGCCCTAAACTAATCCAAATTTCACCTGATATAAAAATAATGTGGCACCGATTTGACCCGACCTAAACTTAACCCAACTTGAACTCAAAATGAACTGGTTTAACCTAACCTGACTCAACCTAACCTGAAATTCACCCAAAAAAATACTCGATTCAATCTAATTTGTTTTGATCTAAAATGATTTTAATTTAACATGATCTCAAACAAACATAATTCTCAACCCAACTTATTATTTTGGTTTTCCTATTTTTTTTTTTCTTAAACATAATTACTTCAATTCATGAAATTGTTTGTTTCATTAATCGTTATAAACTTCATTTTGAAATGGTGCGTGGGCTGAGAGCCTGAGAGTAGTGAGTATACGATTTTTAATTTGAAATGCAAGTACATAAAATATATGAAGTTTATTAATTCAATTTAACTAATTTGATGTTTTAATATACTCAAGGTCAATTTAATCAATATGTGGCTATCATATATGTTCATTATTTACCGTAGTCATATCACTATGTACGTATGATATAAGTCATTGATAATTCAATTTTAATTTGACTTGAAGATAAATGACTTAAGAATTGATCTAATGATCGATGAGAAAACTAATGAATAATTTGTAAGTGTTAATGACACATGTGACATGTTAATGACTCAATAATAAAGTAAAACTGAATAATTAATCTAGTTTAATAATGATCTAATTTGAATATTGAATTTGATCAACCTGAACCAAATTCAGTGAAACTTGAATAGGATTTGAATTGGAATTGACACAGTACAATACTGAATCAACCATATCCTAATTTCAACTTAACCGAATTTAATCGAACCGAATCTAACCGAACCAAAATTAACTTGACCCAAAGTCATATGACTTTAAATTAACCCAATCAAACCCGTTTTGAGCCCAATATGAATTTATGCGAACTTATTATGAACCTATCAAGAGTTGACTTGACCCAGACAACGAAGCACGGACACTCGTAAGTTCAGGCGTGTCCGAGTCGACATGCGTGTCGGACACGGACACGCGTGGGACACGGGGCAAAACGTCTCGGACACTCCAAAAACCGTGTTCGGTTTATTTTTGACGTTTTTGATTTTTGGACACGGGCCGTGTCACCCTTAGACACGGGCCGTTTTGGTATGACACGGGAAATAACCTAAAGTCTTGCTCTCTGCTTTGCCTCTCTGCCTCCCTGCCTATTTCCACTTCTCAATTTCTCATCTTCCTCTCTGCCTCACGCGAAATCAGTCATCACCATTGTCATCACTCAGTCACTGTCGTCGTTGCTCCACCCACCACTCCACCGTTCGCATCAACACAGTCAGCTGTCGTCGTTGCTCCACTGTCGTCGTTGCTCCACTGTCGTCGTTGCTCCACGCTTGGTGTCACTCAGTCACTGTTGTCGCTGCCTCTGCCTCATTCAATTGCCGCTGTTCGTCCTCAGCCACCACCCACCACTCCACCGTTCTCATTGTCGTTGCTGACTTGCTGTCCCAGACTCCCAGGTATGGTTCTCAACGTTTTTTTTTTAAATTCAATTAATTTTCTGCATTTCAGTTTCATGAATCATGTAATTAGAAATTTAGAAGCTGAAGCTGAAGGGTAATTGGATGTCTCGGACGAAATTTGTGGGTATCAAAGAAATTTTGGTTGAAATTGAAGAAATTTTGTAAGAGATTTTATAGTATAATAATAATAATTGAGTTTTTGGAATCTGATTTGGTGAGCATGTGCACAAGAATACCTCATACACTTCTTTCTAAATTTGTGAAAAGTTAGATTTTTTAATTTAATTAATTTTATTTAAATGTATCTTCTTTGAGATCAGTGGAATATTGCTTCTGGATTATTTTTTTTCATTTGTGTTTATTAAATGTAGCATGTGGATCCTGGGGTTTTGAAGATGCAATGTTCACTGTGTCTTGATTCCTATTGTTCTGGGATTTGTGTAATTATGTTTGCTTTTATACTTGGAGCTTTGATAGCATTTATCTCCTTCATATTTGGTTGATTAAAGAGTGTATTACCAACGTGAATGACGAGGCTTTATAATTGTGTTATTAAGCTTCTTTGATCTGGTTTTATTATATAAGAAAACTTTGATGCTTTGAGAGAAGTTTCTAATTTTAGTTTTGATTAGTGGTTCTATAAGTAGAAAATTCAGTTTTTGTGGTTCTTGTTGTTGCTAATTTTGCTGTGATGTGAATAATGTGTTTTGTTGGACTTGTTATGGTTAATCATGACTATCTTCATTGATATAAACTAGTGTATTTGGTTTGATGGTTTCTTGATATGTATGAGACTATGTCCGTACACTTAGTTCATTTACTTGTTTAATTAAAATTGTGTGTTTTGAGGCTAATTATTTAGTGTTTTATTGAATTAGTTGTCAAATTCTCGTTTTTTTAATATATTATATGACTTGTTATACGCCGTACCCGTGTCCCCTATTTCAGGATTGCCGTTTTCCCGTGTCCGTGTCGTGTCCGTGTCCGTGTCCGAGTCCGTTTCCGTGCTTCCTAGGACCCAGACCCAATATTATTAATATAACAAGTCTCTTTGGTACTGCTATTAACGCTCTAAAAGTGCAGTAGCAGTATCAAAGAGACTAGTTATGTTAATAACCTGTCTCTTAAGTTTTTTTGTTTTTTTTTTTTTTAAATTTATTTTTTATTTATTAATTTATTTATTTTTTTTGCTTCTATTATATCTTTATATATGTGTATAACCAATTTTTTAAATTTTTCCCAAAGCTTCTAAATTAAGTTAAAAAAAATCATAAAATTAATGTAATAGTATTTTAGTACCATTTGTTTGTAATATGCAGCTTGTAAGATGAAATTTTACTTATTATTTGGTTGTAGTATGAATTTTTGTGTTCTATTTTCGGATTGAAATTAATTTGGCTGTAATATAATTTTCGAAATGAGATTAATTACGGGCAAGATTTAGATTTTTTTTTTTGTATTTTCACAAGTGATCAATAATTTATGGTGACTCACCAACTCGGAAAGCTTGGATCCGCCATAGCATTCATTTTTGAATTTAGCCATTTTTACACATTTTGATAAGGTTTAAATAATTAAAGTTACTTGAATACAACAATAGTTAATTAGACTAGCCTTAATGTTCATTGGACAACCAATAATTGAGGTGTGCGATGTAGAAAATTTAATTTGTTTGACTAAGATAAATTGCATAAATCATATGGAATGTATTTTACTTTTAAAAGTTCCAACTAAATTAAAATATTTGCAGAACAAAACGTGTTATGAGACAAGACAAACTTTAAAGTTCATTCGAAAGAGCATAGAATAAATTTTTGTTAAAAGACTTATTGAAAGAATAATGATGATAAGCTCCAATCCATCTATCGCAAAGAAGAGAATTTGTAGTGTCCCACACAACTATATATTTAAAAAAAAAAAACAAACAGAAAACGAATATTTCTTGATCTTCTCCTTCTATATAATGGTGGGAAAGTATGGTATTGTAATTTGCAAGTCATACAGATTAAATATATACAAGAGGGTGATAATTCTTGTAAGGTAATTGTGTAATAATTAGTTAGTTTAGCTTCGTTTTTCAATTCATCCATCTTTTAATTTTAAAAAACGTTATCATTATTTTAATTGATCAAAAACTTTTGTATACATTCGATGTACAATAATATTACTATACATCAATGTAACTTCTATTGAGTTTAATTAGGGTAATTTTTAGATTTTTTCGGGTAAGTTTTATCAGTACAACATAAACAACTTTTATTTATACACGGCTAACTTTTATACACGGAGTAAATTTCATTCATTACATAGCAGATGTACAATATTTTATTGTATATCGGTTTTTTTTTTATTTTTTTTAAAAGTTTGTCTTAATTGATATACTTGGTAAATAAAAAAAAATGTTGATAATACTATTTTATATATACCAAAAATAAAGTAATATAATTAATAATTGGAAAAAAAATATATGTCAATTATGAACTATAATCAATAAAATATTATGATAATCATATTTCAAACGACTACGGTAAAATTTTCATGTAAAAATATTTTATCATCATTTTAATTGATATGCTTGTTACTCGTAATTTATTGTGGCTTAATTTGCAGGAGAATATAACTGAAAAGATGGCCAACATTCAAGAATATGCAGCAGTGAAGGTGATGTTCAGTAATAATGTCCAAGCTACATTGAGTGTTAAGCTGATCAACGGAGATGGAGAAGACCCTGCAGACGTTTACGGAAATATAAATGGTCGATTTGGCATTGGCAGTCAATTTTCGCTTTTTGCTAAGCAGCAAAGTCAGCGTATTGAAGTAAGGCCTGGTGAATTCATTCCCTTGAGTCGGTCCGATGTCAATGTGCCTGAAGAAGCCAGGGAAATGGAGATTGAAGCTTACTTGATGGACTATGATTCTGTTTCTCCCGACGATGAAATTGCAAACGGCAAAGCCGTCTTTCTCGTTAAGGCTTCTGGTGAAAGTGATAAGAAGACCATTACCGGAAAGTATGGCTCCATTGAAGTCAATGTACTTTGGGGTTGATTTCATCTGATTTGATCTAATCTAATTAATCCTGCTGCAGTCTTAAATCTTAATTACTAGCAACCAGCTAGTATAACTAAATAAAACTTCCCTGCACTGGTGTTCATGTACTATTTCAATATAATTACCTAAATAATACGAAGTACTACGTACGTTTTTACCTACTTAATTGGATGTTTTATATAAGTGTATTCCATGCCCCTATATGATTCCTAAATCTCGAGTTACAGCCTCTGAAGTTAATCCTGCGAAGCTGCCAACCCATCGCCCATTCATCATGTGATGGTCATGTTGTGTGTTAAGGAGGTAGATACTGAACAAAAATTATTTTTACTGAAACAAAATAATGTTTGCTGACTTAAATTATTTTGCTGAACAGAAATTAATTTTACTAAACTAAAATTATGTTTGCTGAACTAAAACTATTTTTATTGATTTTATATTATAATTTTTCTTTAAAAAAACTTAATTTTACTACACTGAACTTATTTTTGCTAAACTGCAATTAGTTTTACTGAATTGAAATTAATTTTACTAAAATGAAATTAATTTTATTGAACTGAACTTACTTTTACTTAATATTACTTTTTAAGGTGAAGTGAACAGGGCCAAGTTAGTTTTATTACTCCATTTGATTTCATTTTGGTCGTACATGTTACGATTGTCGGAAAAACTTCATTCTTTGTTAAAAATGAAATTTAATTGTATATTATTGTAATAAAGTTATAATTGAATACTAATAATGTACGCACTTTATAAATCAAATAAAACCCTAAAAAAATTCAGAAAATCTATCTAATCGTGATTTTTTTTTTTGTTTTTTTTTTTGGAAATAAATCTTATTGTGAATTTTGTCAAGACTGGATATAAGAAAAACAAATAGAAAGAATTTTTTTGTTAATAAAAATAAGTTAATGGTTTTCTTTACTTTTAAGCATCATGGAATCAGTATAGGACCGTTTAAATGGATGGCATGGACCTATCAAAGGACACCACCAAAAAGGAATCGAACATTTTCAAAACAATATATCAAACCATAATAATAAAATAAAAAATCTAATATATATTTTCTCTCACCTTTAAGAGACTAGAAAATTGGTATAATTCATTATACCTATTGATGAGTACATAAAAAAAAAAAATTGTGTATATGTGTATGTTATACCCTAGATTTCAATGATACTATTATGCTTTACTACAATAAATAAACTACTTGTATAATGTTGTATAATAATAGTGTATGGGATGTTTTTGACTATCGGTAACTATAGCCTACTATCAGGTATGGGCTCATATATATTTGTCCATACCACAATATAAAATTATTTTATTTTTTCCCCTTTTTTTCCCTTTCATCTTCATCTTCTTCCTCCCTTAAACCCTTTCCCCATTTCCGGTCAAACCTCCGTCCACCACACCTCCACCTCCGACAGCAAGGAACCCACCCCACCAGCCATCACCTTGGTTGAAACCTAGAAACACGCAACCACCTCCGTTAAAAAATTACTGAAAACCACCCAAAAAACATAACCCAAAAAATAGAAGAGTGAGCCATGCTATGGAGTGATTTTCATGGTCTTCAAACATAGACAAGTTCCTTGTCGACTTATGGCTCTAGCCATTAAAAAAGGTGAGTTCTATGCTAGACATTGTATGAGTTCGATCGAAATTGACGACATTAAATGTTTGTCGGTGCTCAGTTATTATTAATTTGTATATTGTTATTCTTGATTGTATACTGTTATTATAGTGTTGAATATTTTTATTAAGAGGAGAGGGGCTACTTTTTTACAAAATGATAAGTAATACACGAAATTACATTTTTTTTCCCCAGTATGGACACAACAAGCCCATACTTGGTAGTGATCTGTCACTACTCATCGATATGTGCCGGATGATTCCATTTGGACTATGTCACTAATTGGTCAAAGACTCAATATAATTCCATATCGACCTATGTCTATCACGTAGAGAGATGCTTGAAACCATTTAGATACCGCAGATTTGACAAGACCTTCACATGGCCCAGTAAATTACAATCAATAAAGCATAAAAATCAGCTAATCAAGTAAGTACTCCATACTTGGTACCATATTGAAATTCATTTATGAATTTAACCATTTTTACACATTTGAATAAGTTTAAATAATTAAAAATACTTAAATACAGTAACAGCAAATTAGACTAGCCTTAATGTTCATTGGACAACCAATAATTGAGGTGTGCCATGTAGAAAATTTAATTTGTTTGACTAACATAACTTGCATAAATTATATTAAATGTATTTTACTTTTAACCGTTCCAATTAAAATAAAATATTTGAAGAACAAAACGTGTTATGAGACAACTTTAAAATAATTCATTCAAAAGAGCATAGAATAAATTTTTGTTAAAAAACTTATTGATGGAATAATGATGATAAGCTCCAATCTATCAATCGCAAAGAATAGAATTTGTAGTGTCCCACACAACTATATAATTTTTTTTTTTGAAAAAAACGAATATTTCTTGATCTTCTCCTACTATATAATGGTGGGCAGTATGGCATTGTAATTCGCAACTCGCAAGTCACACAGATTAAATATATACAAGACGGTGATACTTCTTCAAAGGTAAGTGCCCGTGCCTATATATAATCTTATTAGTTAGTTAAGCTTTGTTCTTCAATTCATCCATTTGTCACTAACATATATATGTAACTTTAAAATACTTTATCACATCATTTTAATTGATATACTTGGTAAACTAATAAATTGTTATCTTATATCAAAAATGAAGTAATATAATTAATTATTTGGAAATAAAATGTCAATTATATGAACTACATCACCAAATAAAACATTATGGTAATCATATTTCAAACGTCTATTGTAAATTTTCATTTTAAAATACTATATCATCATTTTGCTTGATATGCTTGGTGATTTATTGTGGCTTAATTTGTAGGAGAATATATCTGAAGAGATGGCCAACATTCAAGAATATGCAGCAGTGAAGGTGATGTTTAGTAACAATGTCCAAGCTACGTTGAGTGTTAAGCTGATCAACGGAGATGGAGAAGACCCTGCAGGCGTTTACGGAAATATAAATGGTCGATTTGGCATTGGCAGTCAATTTTCGCTTTTTGCTAAGCAGCAAAGTCAGCGTATTGAAGTAAGGCCTGGTGAATTCATTCCCTTGAGTCGGTCCGATGTCAATGTGCCTGAAGAAGCCAAGGAAATGGAGATTGAAGCTTACATAAATAAGACACAAAATAAAGAAAAATTGGAAACTAATAATCCCACCTTTGCCACTTCTGCTCAAAACAATCCCACCTTTTCGAATTCCCAAAATAATCCCACCTTTGACCCCCATCTACTCAAAATGAGCCTTTTACCGGTTTGTGAAATTGGTAACTCATTTTAGAAGGTGACTTGCCACGTGTCACCTTCTGATTGGTACAATTTTAATTTTTGCAAATTTTTTTTAAAAAAAAAACTCCCCACCACCGTCCATCGCATCAGACACCACCTCCCTTTCCCGGTTTCATGGGTGAGATCAGGGTTTGTGGGTGGCCGGGGTTCGTGGGCGGCGATATTTCGGGGTGGTTTGGGTTTCGTGGGTGGTCGGGGTTCGTGGGTGGTTTGGGTTTCGTGGGTTGGTCGGTGTTCTGGGGTTGGTGGGTTTCGTGGGTTGGTCGGGATTTCGAGGTTGGTGGGTTTTGTGGGTGAGATTGGCGGGGGTGGTTTGGATTTCGTGGGTGGTTGGGATTCGTGAGTGGTGGTAATTTGTGGTGGCTGGGGTTCGTGAGTTTGTCGGGATTTCGAGGTTAGTGGGCTTCGTGGGGAAATCGACACTTCGTGGGTGGTCGAGATTTGTGGAGTGGTGGTAGGAGTTTGTGGTGGCTGGGGTTCGTGGTGGCTGGAATTCGTGGGCGGTGGTATTTCGAGGTGGTTGGTGTTAAGGGGGGTTTGTGGGTGGATGGCGGTGGTATTTCGAGGTGGATGCCACTGGCTGGGGTGGTTGGTGTTAGGAGAGAGAAAGAAGGTGGTGGGATTAGGTGGTGATGTGGTGGTGCTTATGGAAGGGTGGTGGTGGTTTTGGTGGATAGCTAAGGTGGGAGATGAGAGATTGAAAAAAAAAAAAAAGTTAACCTGCTAAACAAGTTATGGGTTAAAAGACTCATTTTGAGAAGATGGGGGTTAAAGGTGGGATTATTTTGGGAATTCGAAAAGGTGGGATTGTTTTGAGCAGAAGTGGCAAAGGTGGGATTATTAGTTTCCATTTTTCCCAAAATAAACTAGCTATCTTCCTTTCCTTCTCTTCTTCTTAATGGAATTTGTCTTGTTGCTAAAAAATGCCCCCTGCTGCTGTTGCTTGTTGCTGCCCATGCTTGCTCCTCCCTTTATGCCTCGTATACACCACTAAAGGTGGTTGACCAGGCTGGGTTTGACCCAAGTTGAGGTTTGACCCCAATTGGTGTGTGGGTTACTTGGAACCATGACAGTACGTTTTTACCTACTTAATTGGATATTTTATATACAAAAGTATGTGTTTTCTTTTTTCATTTTTTTAAAGGTAAGAGAAGGACCTTGACCAGACCTGAACCCTCACGCAATGGCGGATCTATATGGCCACCAAGGGAGCACTATCATCCCCTTTATTTTTGCATTAGAATTATGAAATTTAAGGTGTGTTAAAAAAATTTATCTCATATTGTATTTTTTCCTCTCCCATTCTAAAAACTTGATTTCCTAAAAGATATATTATACATTTCTCCATATAAAATTGCAAGTAATTTAGTATTTTTGGATTTAAAATATTGCAGCATTTGCGCTTTTGACATTAATTCTATAGTGATTTATACGCAAGGAAAAATAATTACTTGGGGTTATTGCTATTGTTATTGTTACTATTACATACTCGTAATTAAAGTTTTTTGAAAGTTTAAAATTGCGTATTGAAAAGAGTGATTACTACCCCCATGTCGCAATGTTAAAGGAACAAAAGATGTATGTAAACTTACAGGCTAAAGATGAATTAGAAAGTAAAAAAATTATGCAATAATATTGAAACATTAATAATATCAATGTCTCCAATTTTTTGGGTTACTGGGGCAGCCAATGCGCGCGTTGCACGCGGAATGGCTAGCCTTTGCAACTTAATTTTACTTGTCTTGTGTTGCACTTCACATGGAGGAATAAAAGACCGGCAAAGGAATATACTACCTCTGGTTCAATTTACTCGCAACAAAATAATATTTTATGTCTCACAAATAATACCCCTTTGTTGCGAGTACATTGAAGCGGAGGTAGTATTTCTATTGCTTAGGCATTGTTTGTTTGTAGTCTTGCTAAGTTGAATGTTATGTGTGAAATATCTCGTATATTGGAAAAAAATCTTTTTTTTACTATTTGTATATGGTGATTCTTTTAATTGAAATAATATGTAGAGTCACTGTAGAATATAATTCTTAGGTTTTTCAATGATAATGCAGAAAAGGAACAAATGTTAGAATTGTTGTTTGTTTATTTTCGCAGTGTTGATATTAGCATTACTTAATTGTGGTGGTACAATACGAAATAGAGAAAGAATCATCAATGATGAAATCGAAATGACCAATTCCTAATCCACCACAAAGGCTAACAATATTAAACAACCTCTTTATATTGGTATTGTCAATTTTTTTGGCCACAATTTGATTTGGGAATTTTGGGAAGGTGGTGAACAAAGATGTGGAATTTAGTACTTGGAAATGGCAATGATAGGGTGGAGAGAGAAAGTTAAAAGATTTCAAGAGATGGAGCCATGGAAAGGAGGAGAGAAAGCTCAAATGTGTAAGGAAATGTAGACGGGTAAGAACAATTTGAAGTTGGATTGTTGGAGTACAAAATTACAAATAAGGGTACAAAGGTAAAATACATTTTAAAGGGTAAATAGGGGTACAAAGGTAAAATAACATTTTAAAGGGTATAAAAGTCCGTGCACTATTCATAAGAACAACTTTCTACTTTTTATAAGGTAGGGATATAAGTTTAAAATTTTTACACCCCCATTTTCAAATTTCTGGATCCGCCACTACCCTTACGGTTTTTTGGTTTAGTATTTGCAGATAACGTAGCAAAACTATAAAGACCAAAAAATAATGAAGAAAACATATGCTTATAGATTACGCGGAGACCATTAGGTCTATTAGACCATTACCATGGATACTTGGATATTGACACAGGAATATTTGATGGTAAATCAATTCTGAATTTAACCATTAGTTTAAGTAGCATTAATTAATATTCGGCTTCAACTATTAATTTAAGTTTTTGGTTTTGATGATTTTCTAACCTTGCTGGAATATTTAGAGATGGGTATGATAGATTGATAGAGTGTAATCGGTATATAAAACAATTTTTCCATATATATATCCTATTCATTTTTTGTTTTTGTTTTTTTTTTGTTTCTTTTGAAAAGTAAAATACAGGGAAAATTAGGAACGTCTTCTTATAAGACTGTAACCTAATTTGTTAAAAGTAAAAAATAAGAAAACTTGTTGTCCATAAACGGGTTAGTATTTTGATGTGTCGAAATAGAATAGCCTAGAGAAACAACATAATCTACTGCTCGATTTCCTTCACGGTAAATGTGGCGGAGTCAAAAGCCACAAATGACTCAAGAATCTTGGTGACGTCGGCCATGAGCAGCTGCAGTTTCCAAGAGCAATTGAAATTTTCCTGCAAAATATTAATAACAGTTAGATTATCACCTTCAATAAAATATGAGAGATATTATGGTCCTGGGCTAAAAGAAGGCCATTACAAAGAGCAATAGCCTCGGCCAAAAAAGCTGGGCAAGAGCCCAAATTATAAGTGCGACTAGCTATGTGATGACCCATCAAAATTGAGTTTACAAAATCCCGGAGGGGGAGGGGTCCACGAAATAAAAGAAGGGGAAGAGTGAGTATGCCAGGAGTGAATAGGAAAATGCACGACAGAAGACAATATCAGTAGTAGGAAAAGAATGCTTAAAAATAACTGCATTACTGCTTTTCCAAAGGCTCCATAACATAATGACAACCTTGAGAATAGTACGGGGAGAGGAACTTTTAAGAGAGCGAAAAAGGGCATGGATTGAAGAAGCAGAGATAGGGGGTCCAACCCAGTTACTGATAGCCGGAAAAGACCAAACCCTTGAAAAAGGGCACAAAAGAAAAAGGTGATCCTGAGATATAGCTGTTGAATTACATAGGGCACAACAGGAAGGAACATCAATATTACGAGAAACTAAAGTTTGTCTAGTAGAGAGACTATTAAGTACGTAGCATTTGCCATAAAAATATATATAATTAATTTGGGTGGAATATCTAATTTCCAAATCCAACGAAATTCCCATTTAAGAGGGTTACTAGAAGTGGAATGTGCTAACCAAGTTGCGGATTTAACCATAAATTGGCCATCCTAAAAAAGACCCCAAAAAGGTTCATCAGGAACAGGGGTAGAAGGAAGTGGAATACCCTGAATAAGATGTACAAGATCGGGAAGGAGAACAGAATGGAAAAGGGAGACATTCCATGAATTATCCTCATTAATGAAAATTTCAACAGTAAGATCAATATTAGAAATGGTATCCGGTCTAATCTAAAAGAGCTATGATATTAGTATTAGCACACCAAATGTCTACCCAAAAGAGGATAGAGGAATCATTTCCAATTTTCCAACGGAGGCCTCTAATCAAAAGAGGGCGTATTTGTGGTAATTTTTTTTTTCCAAATCCAAGAGTCCTTAGGATGAGAACGATAAGTCAAAAAATGTGAAGCTCTAAGATATTTAGCCGTGACTGACTGAACCCACAAGTTAGTTGGGTCAGTGAGAACTTTCCAACCTAGCAAAAAAAAAAAAAAAAAAAGCAGAATTAACAGCATCAGATTTTCGAAGTCCTAAACCTCCTTGGCTCTTGGGCTGACAAATAGTATCCCAAGCAACTATAAGCATACTACTTTCAGACAAAGAAGATTTGCAAAAGAAATCACAATTGATTTTATCTAGGGAAGAGGTAACAGACAAGTTGGTTACTTTAATCATAAAATTAGGGAATTGGGTATTTGGGCTAGCTTATAGAATTTTCCATTCGACTTCAGGGATCTAATTTAGGCACTCCAAACTTCGGGTATGCCACTTTTACCAAACTTTAACGGTGATATCAAGTGATATTTTTGAAAATACATAGTAGTAAGTATTAATACTTCCTCTATTTTTTAGTTGACACCTTTTTATTATCACGCTTGCCAACGTATGTATTTAATGCTTAATAACTTCAATTATCAACATTGTAAAATTATAAAAAGTGAATATTAATAAAATATACATGCATATAGACGGTTCAAATAAGATCCTAAGTGATTATATTTTATTGTATCTATAAATCACAAAAGTGAGTCAACATGTAGTGTGTGAATAGTGTAAAAGTCAAACATTGTCAACTAAAAAAAACGGAGTAAGTATGAGTTAAGATAAAATACATCCCTCAACTATATCAATAGTAGCACATTTGGTCCCATATCTTTGAAATGAGGCAAAAAGGTCCCTCAACTACCCTTGTCTCATCATTTTCGATGGAGATCCTTCTAAGTCAACAAAGATTAGGGATCTCAATATCAATTAGGCAAAAGTTCAAAGACTTTTAGCTTTGATTCAACAAAAGTTTAGGGATTAAAATTCATTAATTTTTTTTAATGAGATTTTTATTTTAAAAGGAATCTTTTCTTTTGAATTTGTTTTTTGTTTTTTGGACCATGACTCATTATAGTTTGCTTTTTCTAAATTAAATATAAAAAAAAAAAAAAAACAAACACAACTATCTGAATAGGAGACCGTTAATTTGACAAAAAATGCAGAAGAATTCTCAACATCAAATTAATGTAATTTGTGACGTTTTTACTTTGGGATTTACAAATATCATTTAATTTGTCCTAATTTTATGTAAATGATATTTATGAATAAATCTCCGGCACATCAAATGAGGTTCAGGGTTTAGTTTTATTGTTTGAAGTTTCTCTATTATTTTTATTATATCACTTGAATTTTATGTAGTCTCCGCCAGTGACCAATGATATCATTAATTACAAATAAGTATAAGTTATTACAAAATGATATTT